GTTTGATGTTGTATAAAAAACTGTACATCTTGCAGGAATGTGTAATACTGTCTGCAGCAATGAGGTTCCGATTATTCACAGATTATTCACAGATTATCAGTGAATAATCGGTTGCATTGTAAATGACACATGACGCAAATTCACTTTTTAAAAAATTTATTTGTTCTAATAAAAAAGACATTGCTTTCTGTAATCTTCATTACAAAGTGTGATGATAAATGAAATTGAAAACCTGACATATATGGTCAAAATTTTAAATCATATTCGACGAAAAAGCACAGAGAAAAAAATGCTCGAAACAAATTTATAGCCATTGTTCGAACTTTCATGAAAGAAATAGCGTACGTAACAGGCGTTAATTTTCAGCAGTTTGTTTTCAAAAGACAATTCAAAATTCAATATTGCGCGGTGAAGTCAAATCATTCTAAGCAGCACCGTTTGTTTCTCAGTCGGAAATTGTTGAAATGTTCGATAATACAGTAAAGATTTTTGTGCTATTTTAATGATAATAAGTCTGTAACTATCGTATGATTACGTACCAAATTTCCTAGGTTTAATTATCAACACAATCTATAGTAAACTGCGCACTATTTCACTATTCAAAACGCTTAATTAATAACACTGATAATGACAGAAAGTATATAAATATTAATTACATTTTTTTATATTAACTGTATGATTAAAAGGCATAGACGTAATTAATTTAGTACATTTCTACACAAAATGACCAAATTTCTTAACAATAATGTACTACAGTTTGTAATATTCTGTATAATTTTCAACAATTATTGACAAGACTATGTCTTGTTTATAAAATCGTACTGCCACCGTTCTTACCAGCATAGACGTATGAAAGGGTACATGTCGAGAGTTGATATTTGGCACAGAGTATCAGGTGCCCAAATCATTCGCGCATAAAAAAGTCCAGACTCGTAGGTAGTCGGGGCACAGAGAATCGAGTCAAAATAAAACACGAAATGGTGACCCTCTTCTACAAACAGGCAAAACAGCCACCTCACCCCACTAAAGTCAGGTATGGAAGAGCATCACCCGCAGTCATACTAAGAAGCGAACTCTGACCTTAGGACCGAACACGTAGTTTCTTATAGGTTAAATAAAATTTGTAATCTAATTTTGTAAATTTGGGAGCGCTTCAAATATGACGTTAAAACGGTTTTATGTCGTTACAAGTGGCTTTTTTAGCATTATCTAGTATAGTAAAATCGTGGAACCGATAAAAATTTGACGTTATATTAGAGTTGTCGTTACATTCGATGACATTATAATCGGGTTAAACTGTATATTGTTTGCGCAAAATAAAAAAGAATAATTTCGGACGATACAATAGCAACGATTATTTTTTTCAAAAACGGGAACTTTTCGTTACGCATCGACAAAAATTCCACCCGGGCCGACACGCAACTGATAGAAATTTTGGAATTAGACAGCTTAATTTCATCGAAGATGCATCGTGGACGATCTCGTAATCGTGGCCGGCGAAGTTTGAACGATCGCGCCCAAAAGCAGCGATATCAAAGAAGACAGGAGAATGAGAACGAGACCCGCCTTCAGCATCAAAGTGATTCCGTCTCCGAGACATAGTCTCGTCCCAAATATGGTTTTGCCGTTTTACTTCTTCATTATAAAATGACAAGAAGCTTAATTTTTAGGATAGTGACCAAATTTAAATGAACATTGAAAATTCTAATAAGAGACTACTCGAAATATGACACGACCCTCTCACACACACATTGACTTTTGTTTTTCTGACTGTTATATGTATGTGAGGCCAAACATTTACTCAAAATATTGGCTATTATTATATACCTCTTTATTGTTGAAATATATAAACGAATATATATATATATTTGAAATATTTTATATAGATAATTTTAATATGCATTATATATATATATATTTTTTTGAATTTATCAGACTAGTGTTAGCTGTCAGACAAAACGCCTTTTGCTCCCATATCTCGAAGATGTGTGTGTGTAAATGGAACACCGGAAAGGTTTATGTTAATCAAATAACTGTGAGCCCGAGGGTTTACAGGGCGTAAATTTTTGAATTTAACATATTTTTACATTAGAGGATGAGAAAATTTTATCACACGTTATAACGGAAATAGATCGGATGTCGAATCTTACACATCGTCCGTTTGTTAATTAGTCAACGTGCGCGTGATAATTAACGAGTGAACGACCTGTTGACTCAGTGCCAACGACGATCGTATAAAAACGATCGTCAAGGAAAGTTCCGGGCGATCGTCCCCTCAGTGCGACCGTCCCTCCGCGAGATCATCAGGAAGGTCTGAATGCAGTGTCTCTCGTCCCGATCCTGTCCAAGGAGAAGCCGGTAGAAGATATATAAGCCTGTGACAGTCAGCCAGCTCCCATAGTCCGGGATGATCGTCGCATACTATCCTCCAACATAAGGTATAATTGACCGCCAATATAACTCTCTCATTCTAGAGCATTTGTAAACTCTCTCACGCGGCATAGTGAATAGTTTGAGCGATTATAGATATATTTGTATTTCCGCATCTAGACAATAATCAGTAAGTTGTATACTTTTGTAAATTAACTTTAGCTATAGAATAAACATTTATTTTGTTATTTGTTAAACCTGTCTCCTGTCTATCCGAGGAAACCTGCCGACTTACCGACGCGCTTCCCACTCGATTTGCCCTCCTAGCCATCCGAACGACTCCGAGATCGGGCTTTACCAGCCTGTGCAGATTAAGCGGTCAGTACCAGATTAGATGACAGATACTAGTCTATTCATGTCACGTACACGCATATAATTATTAATAGAGAAGAGAGAAAAAAGTAAAGGATAAACGATTATGTTTATCAACTTTCTTCAACTTTTTCCGGTACAAAATCACGATTGTTTAAACTGAAATATAAAATAAAAAGAAAGACGAAATGAGAAAATTAGTGATGGGCAGAGTGAAGTATAAAAAAGTTAAAATGTGAGGAAAAAAGAAAGAAAATGTTAAGGAGAAAAAAGTTATACAAAGTAAAAATACGAGAAAGTAAAGAAAAAGATGACAGGTAGAGAAAGCAGAAAGAAATGAGGGTGGAAAATTTACACAGCATCCACAAAGAAGTCAATTCTTAGAAAAACGACAAAACTTTTCCTGGTATGTTGTAAGTTTTGAAGTTCGAATATCCTTTGCTATGAACAAACACAAATACAAATTTTCGTTTTACAAATAAAAATAGGCTATCTTCTTAAAACTAATTTAGTTCTTACTATTAATTCAATCCACATTAGGCATAGACAGGACAAAAGATGCATTGTACACTAACACATATGTTCGGATAGTTTTACACCAGATATCCAGGTCTGTTAGCCTTTGCAACAGTACATGAACATTAGTGATAGCTTAATGAAAGCGATAATTTCTAGAGATAGCATTGGTCTTGCATAACCCAGCATCAAATCCAGACACGTAAAATGTACCATTGATTTTTTTCTTTCATATCCTACAGCAAAGCCATTCTGGTCTTTTTCTCGAATGACATTAACAACACATTGGTTTCCTCGTACGCATTGAATAGTTCTAGTTAAGATTAACTGTACAGCTACAAGTTTTGCGTTGGGTCAGTTCTTCCTTTGTACTTATCAAGTTCTGTGTCGTGTATCTTCTTTTGCTCTTCGTGTTGTCTGCAGAGTACTTATAAATAATACAAAAGAAATTGGCGCTTTCCTCATTCCTCTTTTGTCATTGCGAGCACTAGACTGCAACTTTTTGTTTAGTAATAAGTTAACTTCAAGTTACTACGAATACTTTTACTATGAATACTAGTTAGTAATAAATTAGATTAAGATAGCTAAAACTTAATTTTATGTAACTAGTATATTTATTGTTTCACCTAGTTGTTTCAGTTAACTTATTCTGCATGTTATATAACATGCTAGGTCAGTTTCTATATTATTTTAGCATTAGTTTGAAGTTTTTACTGTGCTTTAAAGTATTATACTTTACCTCGGTAACGTCTATATGGTTGCAGTACTTATTAATGTAAGATATGATTCAGGTTTTCTTTTACTACAACAGCTATTCGTCCTAAAAACTGCACGCCAACATTAATTATAAAATAAGTAGTAAGCTTACATCCGCCGTTCAGACAGGTCCTTCCTTTTTCTACTTTCTACTTTCTCATCCTTCTTCTTCCCTTACCCTCATCCATTTTCATTTTCAAGCTAAACACTTGTATATTGTGTATAAACACTTGTGTATTGCCGTTGTCATTCATTAAAATAAAAACAAAGTATTGGTAATGAATCAATTACGCGCTTTCTGAATTTTCCTCATCAAAAACAATTATTTTTATTGAGATAAAATTTATTATTACTTTTTCTTTCATTCCTTCTAAAGAGACGTAAAACACTTGTCTAAATCTACTTTTTTAACGTTTAAAATTAAATGGAAAATGGTAAAAAGTTGTGTATGAATTTTCTAAATTCAATTACTCAAAAACACTAGCAATTAAACATTATTTTATTTAACTGAGTATATGACATTTTCACCATTCCGCCACTAATAATGACTTTCCACCAATGTAAAATATTCAAATCGTCGAATAAAATAGTAATTATACAATTTAAAATTTTTCAAACACTGTTCACTTTTTAGCTACAAAATATTATTTGCTGAAAAATAATTATTTTATTTTTTTCGATAGTTCTGAATAAAAATAATTAAAATTATGTGAATATATTATAATAATTATCTAAAGTACACTTACGTAAATAATTTTTTAAAATATTTAAAAGTAACAGTGGAGTACAAAACATTATACTAATAAACATTAACCTAAAAATTAGTAAATATCAAGAAACTGTTATCAAGGAATGAAAATTTGTATAACTTTCTTAAAAGCATTTAAAACTCCGTGTTTAGCGACAGGTGTTACAATTTTTTTATTAGAAAAGTTTTATAATCACTTAAGTTGTATACTCTTACTACATATAGTAAATTTCATTTTTTACAAAAAATTTCTGTTTTCCACCTGAGTTTGTAGTTTAACATTATATTTAGAAAAAATAGAGAATATGAATGAAAGAACAACAGGAATAAAAATCAATGCATGAAATGCAGTTTCTAAAGCAATAATAAACACAATCTTCACAAATGTAATGCAAGCGTACATATCTCTATATACAAACAAAATCCCTAAAATAGTAGACAAAGAACCTTGACATATCGGGTAAGCAATACGATAAAGACTGTCTTTCATCTTTTCGCTCGGAGTTTCAGAAACAGAACAAACATAAGCGTAAGCTATATGCGCCGGATAATTCACGCAGAAACCCACACACAATATCAGACTCATCACAGACAACATGTCTACGTTGACACCCCACAGGGACATATAACCTAGAGTTTCTACAATGGTTGATGCTACCGATATCGCAACAAGAAGAGCAATAACAAAGTTCGGTATAAACAGCAAAAACAGTAACATAATTAAAACAGACGTAATCCAAAATAAATCTCTAATTATACGTTTAATGATGATTCCTTGTTCGTATACAGGAGCCAATGCTCCGTGAATCAGAACAGGAAAGTCGAATTCGTCAGCAATTTTCCACAAATTGCTTAAAATCTCTACTTCGGCTGCCGAACTTAACGTATCATTGACAAAAATAAAGAATCTGCTACTCGAAATATCTGTTCCATTCTGATTGAAGACAATATGATTGGAGAATTGCTGTGCCGCTTTAAATTTAAGGAAAACATCGCGAAGTCCATCCAAGAAATCTTCTTTGACGGACATATTGTAACCATGTAACGAATATTTTGCAACAGGATGATTTTGGAATTCTTTGTAAAATTTCAACCAAGATACAGTAAATCGAGAATCCGCAATATATGGGAGACGTTCAAATTTGTTCAGTAGTTTGTCTACGGATTCTTGCACATTTACATCCGAATAATCTAATGTTTTATTAATAACTACTTGATAAGGGAAAGAATAACGGCTAAAACTATTATAAAAAATTTTAACACCCTTTGTTATCAGCGATTCTTCGGGATATAACTTTGCCAAGTTTACACCATAATTTATTGTTAATGCTCCCCATATTCCAATTGATAAATTTAGAAAGTAAATTGTAATAACTGTTATCTTCATTACATTTAAAGATAGTATTTTGGCTAGCTTATCCCTGAAATATGCCATCGTTGGCTCATCAGAGAAATTCTCATCTTCGGAAACTTCGATAGTTTCTGAAAAGTAAAATATAAAAAGTTTTTATTAAATACTACATAAGTTGTAAATTTGTATTGAGCAAATTCATTTCTTGTGATTTTAGTTTATTTTCTCACGTCTTATATCATTCAATGCCATAGTAATGAAATGTTATATTAGAAATAAATAAATGATATAAACAAAGAAAATATAAAGATAATAACACCTTAAGCATTTGATAAATATATGTCAGAAAGATGTACAAAAAGACATTTTTCCTCACGTTTACTATGCTTTGACACAATGTTTAGAAAATAATCCATCTGCAATTTCTCTTATCGAATTTCAGTTAGAATTTCATTTCTATTATATTGATTATATTTTTCTATACCTCATATTAATTTATATTTTATTTATACTAAAAAAACTTAGAAATGTTCTTTCCCAACACTTGAATGTCAGATTACAGCATGTTTATATAGTCTAGGTTTCATACCATTCGACAGAATGAATGGATAGTCGAATGGTGTGAAACTGCTGAAAAAGTATTCAACCAAACTTTTAACATTTTCCATAATAAGGTAACTTTAGGAAGAAGGTTATAAATAAACGTTAAAGAAAACATTGTTCGGACTACAATAAATAACAACAACATAATTTGTCTGATTTAAAATTAAGAAGTGTGTTTTCGTTTACAAGACAATTAATTAATGACTTATTGACAACAATAGTAGTAGTAGTAGTAGTAGTAGTAGTCAATGAAGGCTGTACTGATTATCCACCAGCCCATAAAAATAACGAATTATTGTCAAACTTCATACAAAGCCAATGTTAATCCGTGTAAATTAACATAATTTATGGCGAGTTTGTTACATTTAATATTTTTATTTTTTGCGTTTTTGAATCAAGATACATCAAGACACAAGAAATATAATAAACATGTAAAAAGCACTTTCGGAATTCCACGAGTATTTACATAGTTAAAGAACACAAAATAAAAAAAAATTTAACATATAATGTTAAATTTTGTTATAATGATAATATTTTCTCTGATTTAGAATAAAGTTTCGTTTGTTTACGCGTCGTGTCACTCGATCCTTGTCTGGAATGCGTCCTTTGAAAACATGTACAAAGTCACTTAAACCGGCACGCCTGCATTCCCCTAAAAAAACCCTGTATTTTGGCTTTACCAGACGAAAATATTTGATTTTATAGTCTCTGCAGATAAAACAACATGCCGGATAATCTGTGAAAACTCAATATTAACATCTTAACCTATTTGTGTTATCCAATAAAAGTCTAGTCTGCCAAGAAATAAATGTAATGTTATAAATAATTACGCATCTATATAACTATAAATTTGCCTAACCAATCATTTAAAATTTACTAACCAGTCCGAAGCTTTGAGTGCCACGGTTGATTTAGCAGTACTGCGACGGTCTGGTCCAAGCAATTTACCACTAACGTTTCGGGTCGTTGTGAGAACACTGTTTTCCCCACTGACCAATACGTACAGTACAACTTCTAGTAAAAATCAAAAAAAACCCTTCGTTCAAGTGATCAATGCTGTAAATAGGTTCGAAAAATGCGTAAAACTATTTATTTAATAAATTCCATTGCACAGCATGCGTACTCGCGCGTACAAGACGAACACGTACAGGCCTCATTTATTTCACTTCTAATATCTGGTCTTTGTTGTCCATCGATGAACTAAGTCCTTCAGACTATCGTTTGTCGTTTTACACTGATAGAGTGTTTTTAATCTTTATTTATCCATACACACCGTAACAACACTAATGAGCACTCAGACTATTAAACCCTTTGCGTATAAGACTTTTCCTGAAGCTGCCACTGTCATCATCTTATTCCTGATGCCGATATCGAATCTATGGTCCTACACAATGCACGATATCGGGTATGTCGCACCGCTGCATGATTCGTTAAAGCGTGACTAAAAGTTTTTTAACTTACACATTTAACTCAAAAAATCTTTTTATCTTCTGTCCTATTTTTAATATTATGGGTAATTTGCTAATATTATTCAGAACTACAACTCAGCCTATGTTTAATTTAAAGCTGTGTGTGTTATGTTTTCATGTACAGTACACATAATAAATATTATATATCTGACTTAATATTATATATATACTAAAAGTATTAATTTTATGTAGATGTGTTAATGAATACATGTTTATTTAGAAATGCGTTATCTGTATTGCCTGTGTAGGGATAAACAAAAATGCAACATATATAATCTATTATCTAAATTTTTTAAGTAGTTGAAATATGGAATAAAGTTAGGCTGGAGTCACACTTACATAACTTTTGTAAAAGCCACTTGTTTAAAGTTGGTCCGATGCACTCTAAAAAAAGTCGACAGTCTACGTCACCAATCTAATGTGTGACCTACTTTCTCTAACAGTAAAACGAAGTAAGTTACAGTACAACGATACACATAAACTCTAATTATAATAATCAAAACAAATTCTTAAAGTTCTAAAACCCTCCATTCAGTCTTTGATATGGTTCTACGTAATAGCACTAAATTGGTAGACATGTCTAAATAACAGGCTTATAAACACTAAAAACAAAAATTTTTTTCGAAATAAAAACTAGATGATTATATGCGCAAATAAATTAGTAAGCCTATAATACATACTCTTACTTATATCCAAGTATTATATCCAAAGATCAATTCTCCGTAATTGTCAAAAATAAATTATTTTTCAACTTTTCTTTCTGTAACATATTCTGAAACGAGTTCTAAATTCACAGTAAAATTTCTACCTTATATCTATTAAAAACAGCGCATAATGTATCCATCCACGAAATAAAAATTTATGGCAGTGAACTTCAAAAAAAAACTGAGAAACACCGAGGAAACACTTAACCGAACTCTACGAAATCTGGCGCGAACTGATGCATATGGGATAGACTGAAAATACTTGTGAGGGACGAACAGACCCACAATAAAGTGTTATTTTAAATTTTAATTATTGGAACTTTAATCGGTTAAAATCGAGCGTTAGGCTAAAAGCCATAAAATTTCATTTTCCACGGAGTTGGTTCCTTGTTGAGGCGGATCCAGCTAGTCAGCGATGTGTCACCCGGAACTTTCGATGGAGTGCCTATATTAGACGCCAGACCGTTAACGGCAACCACCTGACCTCATGGAAAAAACCCAAGAGGAATAACAAGAGAACAAGAAAAAAAGACCCCGAGGTCAGTCGTCATCCGAAGTCCCTCTACAAAAGTCGTATTCACAAAGTCTGCTCAACAAAAGTCGTCCTCCCGAATTAAAATCTTGACCCAGGATTAACATCGAGAGAAAAAGATCGTGCCTCTTTAAGGATAACATCTCCACACCTCCGTGCCTCCACCTCAGTGAACGGATCCAGATCCAGTTCGACTGTTTTTTATTGGTAAAAAGTTAATGATTTAGGATAAAAGTATATATTTTTAGTGGAAGAAAATGAAAGTATCGAAATATAATATTCAAACGTAAAAATATTCATGTATGTCGATATTAAAAATGTATATTTTTTAATATCAGATCCAGAACCAGTAGATTGAACTTTCCATCGGCGTATCATCATCGGCGTGACCACAGATCCTTCGACCCAGAAGCAAGGTATTTATCAACACGCGATTCGTTTGTAAACTCTCTCTCTCGAACGGAATAGTATAATTAGAGGGCTGTGACAGTAATAGAATATATCTGTATTTTCTTTAGTTTATATTAAAATTGTTATTTGTTAGCAACCATGGAATCCGAGTAAATTACTTCCTCGTCTCTCTCTTCACCTCTACTCCGAATCCAAGCGCCCACACTACCGCTCGCGTGACGTAACGTCGCGATTTCCGAGTCCCCCCCAGAGACTCGGTGGTGTCAGATTTAGGTCTCCTGACGTGGTGAAAGAGACACCGACCCTACTGTCACATACTCCTCACGTGACAAAAGGTTAAATTTTTCTGAATAAACGCTAAAAGTTTTGGAAAATTCTTTCATGAAACCCAATGAATTTTATTAATACACAATAACTAAATCTGTATAATAAAGATTAATAATTTACCATTACAATTATGTAAATTACATATAAAAGAGATCACTGCGCAAAGTATCTAGCAACCGTGGGATGACTTTGACAAAAAGAAGTTGTTTATGGCCCGTGTTTGATATATGTAATGCTTTTGTCACGATATTATTTCAAATATCGAAAAAAAATATACATTTTTAATATCGACATACATGAATATTTTTACGTTTGAATATTATATTTCGATACTTTCATTTTCTTCCACTAAAAATATATACTTTTATCCTAAATCATTAACTTTTTACCAATAAAAAACAGTCGAAATAGCAACAAAGCAAAAATTGTCTATGAATTCTAAGCTATGTTGAGGGATGTCAGCTTATTCGTCCATCTTTCATATGATTCGGTTTTTCTGTATTTACACTCAATTTACGTAAAAATTATTGTATTGTCCTGTGTACATTTAATAGCTTATCTTTGTTTCTGTTGAATAAATTGAATTTTACAGTAAAATACTCGGAAACGCTGAATAATAAAAACCGAATTAAATAGCTTAATTTTTACAATATCAACATAAAATGGATATAAACATTATTAAATAATTATTATTTATTCGAGTATATTGACTTCTTTCGAAGAAATAATCATTTACTGTACAGTTTATGTAAGCTGGAAATTATTCTTTTGTCTTTGATGATATTTGTTAAAATTTATTAATTTGTACCCAAAACATTAAATTTTAAACATATTTTTTCATATTTTTTGGTAATAGCTTTTGGTCAAGTGATCGTTCTATATTTATCAACTTGGCAGGAGATTTTCAGCACTGATCTGTTTTATATCTACTTTGCATATTTGTGATAGTGCATTACTAATCTTTATTAAATAGATCTAGACAATTTATATTATTTAAATTTGACTGGATTAATAAAATAAATATATAAATTTTTAGTGTTTAGCAAGAAAGTTTCTATGCCACCTGACATTTTCAGCTTATCACATAGGCATCAGTTTGCGCCAGATTTTGTACAGTGTGGTTTGTTGTTTGGATCTTCTTGTTATCCTTCGAAGTTCACTGCTATAAATTTTTGTTTTGTGGATGAATACATTATGCGCCGTTTT